TAAATCGGGGCCCCAACTTGCTCCTCTTCCAAAACCGAATGACAACCTTCCAAGGTGACACCTTTAGCAAAGCAAAATCTCCCATCTGAAACTCAAGATCCGAACGGTGCTGGTCATCATAACTTTTCTGACGACTCTACGCGACCCGCAGTCTATCAAACACTTGCCGAATCAACTCGGTGGTCTTAGGAACCACCACGGTGCTTCCCACAACTCGATGCCCAACCTCCCCCAACAAACTGGAGTCCTACATCTCCGACCACACAACATCTCAAACGGGGGTCGGTCAATACTAGCATGATAACTATTATTAAAAGAAAACTATGCTAGAGGAAGGTAAGTATCCCAACTCCCTCCGAAATCCAATACCCATGCCCGTAGCATATCCTCAAGCGTTTGGATCATCCGCTCGCTATGACCATCGGTCTAGGGTGGAAAGTAGTGGTGAAATGCAATTGAGTTCCCAACTCCTCATGGAACTTCCTTTAGAACCTGGAGGTGAAACGAACATCACGGTCTGAAACCACAGATACCGGCACTCCGTGCCTAACCACTATCTCCCGCACATAAATATCTGCTAATTTCTCGGTGGAGATACTCTGAGAGATCGAAATAAAATGCTCACTCTTAGTCAACTTTTCCACAATAACTCAAATAGAATCCACTCCGCGCGCGGTCCTGGGAAGCTTCATAATAAAATCCATCATGATGTATTCCCATTTCCAAATAAGAATATCCAACAACTGCATCTTGTTATGATGTCGCTGATGCTCGGCCTTGCCTTTCCTACCAGTCAAGCATCATTCCACAAACCACATAACCTCCCGCTTCATGTAGGGCCACCAATAGCTCAATTTCAGGTCTCGGTACATCTTTGTGGCCCTAGGATGAATTGAAAACTTGGACTTATGCACCTCCTCTAAGATCTTTTGCCTCACACCACTGAATGTCGGAACCCAAACTTTGCCAGACTGTGTCAATAAACCCCGATTATCTTGAACAAGCAACGAAATCTGACCCCTAATCCGCTCAATCTTCCAGTTTTCCCTTTCTAAATCCTCCACCTGAGCCTCCTTGATTATATCCAAAAAAGGTGAAATCACCGTCATCCTCTTGCAGGCATCTCGGATCGGAGCACTTGCCGTCTTACGGCCCAAAGCATCGGCCACCACATTGGCCTTTTCGGGATGATAAAAAATCTTGCAATCATAATATTTTACGACAACCGGCCATCTCCTCTGTCGCATATTCAAATTCTGTGGATTCATCAAATATTTCAAGCTCTTATGGTTGATTCATCACAATCGGTACCCTGCTCATATCAGGCGTGGCCTCCACCCTTGTATCTGAAACATAATCCAAAAACCCAAAGCAACCCTGTTGAAGTAATTTCCTAGCTCTCGCAGCCGAACAGAGAGTTGGCCCATGCGAGGCTCTCTCTCCATGAATAACTAGTTCTCCCCCACTTGGGGTTCAAAATCTCACCAGTTGACGCTCGCAATCTATCATAGCCCCATTGGGCCACAACCAATCCATCCCGATGATCACCTTCAAACCACACAAAGGAATCAGAACCAAGTTGATAGGAAACCTCTCCCCGAACATATTCAGAACACTCTTCCGAAACACCCTCGCAACCCTCACGGTGCGGTCATCCGCAATCTGCACCTCGAGTGGAGAATTCAAAAGTTCTCGGAGCATCTCAGAACTTCTTGCTAAACATAAGAGATACAAATGATCGGGTAGCCCCCGAATCAAACAGAATATGAGCCGACAGACCATTGACCAAAAAGGTCCCTATACAAAATCATAACCATATAAGCATAATCAATAACATAAATAAGACAGGAATAGATTGCAGAACAGTCACAACATTTGGAGCTGCTCGGGTCTCCTCTGAAGTCATCTAAAATGCGCGACTCTTCACCGTAGGAGCTTCCGCCTTGATCGGGCGACCATCAGTAATCCTAATCGTGGCGAGCGCAGGCGCCGCCACCGCTCCTCCTCCTCTATCCAAACTCATATAATCATCCCTTTTATGACCGATCTGGTTGTAGTGGAGACAAATCAAGCCCTTCTTGGGGCAATCCTGACTCATGTGACCTGGCTGCCCACATGCATAACATACCGAGCCTGCTGCTCAACGGGCTCCAATATGCGACTTACCGCACATGGCACACCGGCCACAACCCTGATGGCCCCTAATGGGATGATCGGAGGTCTTAGGCTTCTTGGCCTAACCTACGACTGCCTGAACTTGCTTCGACTTCCACTTAGTCCGGAGCTCCAACTCAATTTCCCGCTCTCGGGCCTTCTCCACTATGTCATTCAGGGTCTTGCACCCTGAAAAGCTCACAAACTCCTGAATGTCATCTCTTAACATGGAATAATACCTCATCTTCTCCATCTCCTCATCCGCAGCGTACCGTAGAACCAATAATTCTCTCTGAAACGTCCCGAAAATACGGTCCAAAAATTTCGTTTTAAATCATTACTAAAAACCATAATTATCATTCATCATATAAAAATCATAAGTCGTAAATCTCAAAAATAACATAACATCTGTCAATGTATCAAAATCACATGTCAATTATCATAGTGAATCATCCTACGCTAAAAGCTATGGTGTGTGCAATGCATTCATGCCGAGCTCTTCCTCTTGCTAGTGGAAATACCTGAAACCAAAACTGAAATTGTAAGCACGAAGCTTAGTGAGTCTCCCCAACTACCACATACCATACATATAATCACATAATAACATACATTGGGCCTTTCCCACTACATTGGGCTCCGCCCAGCATCAGACGAATCCGGCATCGGGCCCCGCCTGGAATCGGACCGAAGTTTGGCATCGGGCCCCGCCCGACATCATACCGAAGTCCATTATACATATAGCATATCAACAAACATATAACATAACACATAACATAAACATATAAACCCTCCTCGGGCTTTCCCATACATCGAAATGAAGCCCGGAACATATAAACATAACTTATAGGTTAAACATTCCTCGGGCTTGCCCCGACATCGAACCGAAGTTTGGAACACATAAAGAAACACATGCAACACGAAGACATCAAGCATACAAACATTCCTCGGGCTTGCCCTGGTATCAGACCGATGTCCAGAAACATATCATCTACATCAGGCTATCCCTGGCACACACTAACATATATAAATGGGCCGACATTGGTACCTTAGACTCGTTCCTACTTTAGGAAAACTCACCTCGTAAGCTAACTCTGAAATCTCGTGTAAGGAATCTCTGATGACTGCTCCAAAGACTCCTCGGCTATTAATTTCACAATAACACTTAGTGAAAACCTGATAATCCTTCTTAGGGTAAAATGACGCTTTTACCCCTGGTCAAAGTCAACATCCTGGTCAAAGTCAAATTCAAAGTCATGGTCAACCCCCAGTTGACTCAACTCGTCGAGTTATCTCCTAACTCATCGAGTTCCTATGCTACTCAGACACGTACTAACCCGAGTCAACTCATCGAGTTCTGTACTCTACAAAATCGGGACAACTCGTCTCATCTCGTCGAGTTCCTCTATAGACTCAGCGAGTTCCCCTGTCTGTTTTGCCATCTTAACGGATTAATCCCTTACACTTCAGATCTAAGCTTCATACTTATCACATATCATGAAAATGTCCTTTTAAGGTTAAAGTTTCCAACTTTACCGGTTAATACCTCTTCTTAATGAGTTTAGCTCAAACCCTAACTCCTTGGGACCTAATTCTTGGTCCCCAAGTCATCTATACTCCAAACTAAAGCTTACAAATAGAGATCTAGACCCTAAACACTACATGGACTCTTAAAGCTTCCACCTTGCACTCGATTCATGGCCTTTTGGAGCTAAAAAGCCAAAAAGACAACTTATAGCTTGCATGGGGCCTCCGTGGACATAAGGTTTGCACCTTTATGCACTACAAGAAAAAGACCCTTTTACAACGCGCAAACAACGACACTCGGAGATTTATGTTACGCAAAAGAGAGTGACGTTAAAAAAGTGTCATCTCTTCAAAAAATATAAGGATTTAGGTCGCGCATTATTGCGTGCCCTTAAATTAGTGTCTCATGTAAAAAAATAGAAAACACGGAGGGCACTTTAGCTAAAAGGTGCGTCGTCTATGAATGTCATTTTATATTTTTTTTTAAGAAACGCGCTTCTCCTTAGAGGGAAAATGAAATCCCCAAATTTTTTAAACCCCCGCCTTCTTCTCCCTTGTTTCCACCCCCAAATCGAAGCTACTAGTTGAACAACCCCTAATTGACACCACCACCTTCTATTCTCTCCTTCTCCACCAGGTTTTCTCTCATCTCTATCCTCCACCTTCTGGATTGTAAAGGCGTCGTTGTATAATTCTTTTACCAAACGCACATCCATTATCCTCAATTACAAAAGGTGTCCAAATCTAGGGCTTTTTTTCCATAATATCTCATTCCACCTTACCTCATACTCACCTTTACACAATCGACCGTCACCACCATTCCTACCATCCGCCGCCGCCCTACCATCTCTTCCATCACCACCACTTTCCGACGTGAGAAAAGGTAGCATCACAGCGAAACCTTAGGCACCAAAACAACTCCGATGTGCAATACAGGTTCAGAAACATTCTGTTGTACGTTGTTAATCCTTATTTTTTTAGATTAAAAAGTTTGAAACTTTGATTAAAACACCCATTGGGTGATTGAAGGTGATACAGCAACAGAAAGACGGAGACTGGAATGGGAGAAAGAGAAATAGAAATCGGGAAATCGACTTTAGGTAGCCACAACTACTTAGTCTTGATCTTAATTTTTCGTAAACCAATTTTTTGTTCAAGTAAGGTTGTCGTTCTTCAAATTACAGTACCTTCTGGTAAGTCTTCTTCTCACTTACTTTTGCCACCCTGATGCGTGCATCTACAGGACTGGAATTGATTTCTCCAGGACAACAATTACACGCTTGTGCTATAAAAATGGGTGTAAGTCAATATATCTTCGTATCATGTGCACTAATCGATATGTACAACAAGATTCTGGATATAGTGAAGAAGCTTTAGATCTCTACTATGAGATGCAAGATTCTGGTGTTAAAATGGAACACTTCACTTTCTCAATGATAGTAAGAGTGTGTACACGATTAGCTTCATTAGAACACGCCAAACAAGCACACACAGGCCTCATCTGCCATGGTTTTGGTCTAGACATAGTTGCCAACACTGCACTTGTTGACTTCCACAGTAAATGGGGAAGAATCGATGATGCACGCAAAGTGTTTGATAAAATGCCTCACAAGAACTTTATATCATGGAACGCGTTAATTATTGGATATGGTAATAAGGGGAGAGGAATTGAAGCGTTAGAGTAATTCAAAAAAATGATTACTGAAAACATGATCCCAAATCATGTTACTTTTCTTGCTGTTCTATCTGCTTGTAGCTATTCAAGTTTATTGGATCAAGGGTGGGACATATTTGAATCAATGGGAACAGATTTCAAGGTAAAACCTAGAGCTATGCATTATGCATGTATGATTGAGTTATTAAGTCGTGAAGGGTTATTAGATGAAGCTTTTTCTTTGATCCAAAATGCTCCATTTAATCCAACAGTAAACATGTGGGCTGCTTTGCTTACAGCTTGTAGGGTCCACAAGAATCTAGAACTTGGAAAGCTTGCAGCTGAAAAAATATACGGTATGGAGCTAGAAAAGCTTAGTAATTATGTTGTTCTTCTAAATATTTACAACAGATGTGGAAAACAAAAATAAGCTGCTTCTATTTTTCAAACTTCAAAAAAGAAAGGTTTGAGGATGTTGCCTGTGTGTAGTTGGATAGATGTGAAGAAACAGCAGCATATGTTTGTTTCAGGTGATAAAAAATCAAAATCCCATGTTCAAATTGTGAATTTTAAGAAATTAATGTTGGAAATTGGAAAATACGGTTATGTTCCAAAGAAAAACTCAGAAAACTAGTTTTCTTTTATTTATTTATTTTTTTTTATCTTCTATAATCTTTATTCGCATCTTTAATTTTTCTGTTTCTGTTTACTTGCGAGTTATAAATTGTAACTTGTAATCACAAAAGTTCAGATTTTGAAATAAATAAATTTGTATTTTGTTATTGTTTACTGGTATTGGTATATCCTAATATAAATGATTGTTTGTTGGAATTTAATATATATATATATATATATATATATATATATATATATATATATATATGGTTTGGTTAAAGTAATGGTGATTTGTTTTATAAATAAGCAGGCAATATGTTCACTGAAGAACATAATAAACTGGTTGTGTCAGCAGCTGAGATGCTGTATGGCCTGATTCATGTGCGCTACATATTGACCACCCGTGGAATGTCTTCAATGGTACAAATCTGTTCTCTTTTTCTTTTTTGATAAATTTAAAATTTTTATAAAATATATATATGTATATTGAGATTTGTAGTGTTTAAAACATTGTATATATATAGTTGGAAAAGTACAAAAATTACGACTTTGGAAGGTGCCCAAGAGTTTACTGTTTTGGAGGCTCTCCACATGTTTCTCAATCCCCATACCACATGAAGTCCACTCCATTGAAGGGCAGACAAAAAATTGTATGTTTTTTTTTTTTTTTTTTACAGTTACAGTGAGAACAAAGCGTCATGGTAATTTGATTGATGAAGAAATATTTGAGGGTAGTTCGGGAAGTGGAGGAGCTGAAAATGAAGGGTACCAGAAAGGGAGAAAGTTTTATCGGCAAAAAGACGATAATGACCTTGATGATGGTGGGGAAGCGTGTAGTGGCATAGGAGAAGGACTTGCTGTTGGTGTGGGTGGGAAATTTGATGAAAATATTGAGCACTCATCACAGGGTAAAAGAAAAAAGAACAAGAAACTTCTATTCAGAGGTATTCTTGTTAATGTAATCATGTGAAACAATCTTAAATGTTTAATAGAATCACTAATTCTTTCACCTAATTTGTTCAGATGAAACTTCTGCATTGGATGCACTACAAACATTGGTTGACTTGTCATTAATGATACAATCATCAAAAGGCGATGGTAAACTTGAACATGATAATAGAATGGAATGACCTATTCCATTCCTTTGTGATGATTCTGATTCAAATTCTGTGTGCAGATTCACCTGTATTAAAAGATGATAAGCCAGCAACAGGTACAAATGACAACAATGCCCCTGGAAGACCTGGTTCTACAAGTAACAGGAGACACAAAACCAAAGTGTCAGTTGAGAAATAGAAAGTAGGAAATGAGTTCCCTAGAGGTGAATCTTCTAAATCAGGAAAGTCTAAATCAGGAAGGGAAGTAAAAGTTGATTACAAGGCTTTATCTGAAGGAAAACAGAAAAGAAAAAACAAGTCAACATCTTTTGAGGTTTTCATTGAAGAAGAAAAACCTACAGATAAACTCTTACATTCCATACAGTGCTACACCTGATGAGTATTCGGCTTCAAGCTCCACAAACCATGACTTATCACAAATCTCACATGCAATGCTTAAGTGGGTGGGTTCAGGTTCTAACCTTACACAGGTATGTATGTCCTGAAAATTAATGTGAAAAGTTTATCATGGTCTTAAGATTATTATATCAAAAGAAAGAAAAAAAATTATATTAGTAGATGTTTCAATGTGGCTTTCGTTTCTGTGTTTTTTTTAATTAAATTTTATGAGGTCTAAGAAGTTATATGGAAAATGGTTTATCTTTCTATATGTTACACTTGGTAGTAGAATTAATGTAATGTGATGCTCTGGTCTGGTCTGTACAAGCCAAGGTACTTTCATTGTATTCCTATTTGTTTTGTTTTGAATTTTGATTGTCGTATATTTGTTTTGTCTCCTGCACATAGATGCTTGCTTTATTTTAGTTTATACAAGTTGCATTGCAGCAACACAGTTTGTCTGTGCGTGCTCAAACTCATAATAGTGCATTACAGTTATCTTTTAATTTTTATATTTTTTTAGTAACTAACTCTTCATAAGTCATTGCAGAAAGCATGAAGAATTTGCTCCTAAATTTCCTGGGAGATGAATCCCCAAGGTCACAAAAACTTGTTTCACCAATCACACAGTTTGTGTGTCCTTTTTTAGTGTTGAACAACATGCATTTAATGTTAAAAAAGTGTTGCATGTATCCCAAATATGTATTGAGCTGCCAACTCTCGCTGATAAAGATAAGGAGGTGAAGTTTCACTTTTGTGATTCCATTAGATGTTTCTTATCATATACTCATTTAAGTTGTAAGATTTATGGAAAATTGTAGGTTATTAGCACATGGGGAGTGCGTACCAAGATTTTTGCAAAGATAGAAAATTTTGAGGTCGGATGCCCACATTTTTCAAGCTGTATGTAATCAAATTGTCTCTTGTGTCACATTGGGGAGATTACTTTAATGTCACATTGAAATTTCATCGAATAGTATAGTGATAAATAGAAGAAATAGCAGTGTACTTTCATCTATTATTTGTATGATATTAAATTTTATGTAATGGATTTTATTTTTTTTATATGGTATTTTATTTTCTATTATGAGACATTAAATGCAAATTTAATTTGAAAATTAGTAAAGCCATAAACAATATTTTTTTTAAACATTTAAAATTACGATACGCAAAAATATATGTCATCTTCATTTATGACATGACCTTTCTTGACAGGGGTTTTAATGATACGCATTGCGTGTCATTAACACACGCGTCGTAAGGGTACGACACGCGAATGCGTGTCGTCTTCCTTTATGACAGGGCCTTCCTTGATACGCATTGCGTGTCGTAAACGCGCGTCGTAATTGCGCGTCGTAAATGAGCGTTGTAAAAGCGCGTCGTCTATAGACGACGTGCAAAAGCGCGTCGTCTCTCTTTATGACAGGGCCTTCCTTGACGCGCATTTGCTCGTCGTATGAGCCTTTTACGACGCGCAATGAGCGTCGTAAAAGGCTGTTTTTCTAGTAGTGATGTCATGAGAGACCTTTAAGGTCCTAGATCTAGATGATGGGTTTTGAGCATTCTAACACTTCCTAAGTGTACATGCAACCCTAATAACCTTGAATCTATGTTTTCTCTATATACATGCAAATTTCTTTTTCAAGGTTATTTCCTAACTAGCATGACATGGGGAATAAATAAAATATAAAACTAGTAGAATACATACCTTGTTGTTGCTTGGATTCCTTCAAGACTTTGTGAGCCTAGCACCCCAAATGTTGTACCTCAAATGCTTCACACAACACCATAAAACTTGGAATAACTTGAGAGAATACTTCTTACACTCAAAAATCGGTTATGCCCTCTCTAGTAACACTAGGTACCGATTTTGCTAGCCAAAGGGTCCCTTTTATAGTGGTGTCACAATTAGGGTTTCATTAAGAAGACCCATAATTGTCATGACTCTTCATATCTCATGACCCATGTGTTTGTAACTCCCATGGACTATCCATGGATCTCCAAATGGTTACATCCATAACCCATAAACCATGGATCATTAATCCACCATAAAAGAATTGATGATTGTCATAATCAACCCTATATATTTAATTAGTCTCACTTTGATTACCAAATTAATACTAGATTAATACTTGATCAATACTAATTAAATAATACTATTATTAATATATTAGAACTTATAATATATTAATAATCATAAGTGCCTTATTCTCTCATTTAGTCTATTCAAGTATTGCAATGCCATGCAACCCAAATGGACCATGCCGGGTCGGGTCAAGTACATACCAAATAAAGTTATGGACTTAGACACTATATCCAACAATCTCCCACTTGGATAAGTCTAATAACTATATTTGCAAATATGACTTCAAAATCCGACTAGCAATCGTAGCTCTTTCAAAGTCTCTCGCAACTGAGATGATGATGATACGCCATTTAAGATAAGTGATCATATAATCCTCTGCTCTCATGATATCAGCCGGACAAACACATGGAACATGGTCTTACTTATTGTCCAGCATTTGTTTCTCGATCTCCGATTTGTTTCGACATAGAACTAAATTCAACACATCAATTAGGTTCTGACCGGGCCCGGTACATAGGTCAAAACCAAATCATCGAGGGGCCCAGATATCGCTTCTATTTCTAGAAGGAATAGATAAACTTCGACTGATATGCTTGTACTAACTACTTGTTGAATTATCCACAAAGGCACGTTTTATAACATCGAGTTACCAATGCGTTTTCGTACAATCAATGAATAACCAACTCATAGTCAACAACTCATATCTCTAGGTTTGAAGATTTATATGATATTACCGTCTCACGATCACTCGAGATAAATTCCATGAAGTGATGCAAGTGAGCGTGGGTTGAATCCAATACTCAGCCCTTATGAGTACTCATGAATGTTGTAGCAACCATTGCATTGTCTAAAGCACTTTAGACAAATCATACAAGCCAAATTCATGACAGTCTTAAATCAATACTTACTTCCAAAGTTTGACTGACTGTGGATGGTTTGAATAATAACATGATTATTCTGGAAGTAAAAACATGCAAAATTGAAGCATAGTAAACAATCAACATAAGATAGTAACACCTTACTCATAAATAAATAACAACTTTTATTTATCATCAAATGTCAATTACATTTTACAAGTTTCAGGAATCTAATTATTGAAACTAATATCATCCTTCAGCCCAATGCGCCTCGCATGCTGTAAATGCTTAACCATGCTCAGTCCCTTCGTGAGGGGATCTGCCGGGTTCTCATCTGATGATACCCTCTTTGCCACGAGGAGTCCTTCTTCTATTCTATGTCTGATGAAATGGTATTTTCTGTCAATGTGCCTAGATCTCCCGTGATCTCTTGGTTCTTTAGCCAAAGCAACCGCACTTTCACTGTCACAGAAAATTTCCATTGGCTCCTTTATAGTTGGTACAACTCCAAGGTCTCCGATGAAGTTCTTTAGCCATATCCCCTCTTTTGCTGCCTCGCTTGCTGCTATGTGCTCTGATTCACAAGTTGAATCAGCTACTGTCTCCTGCTTGGAACTTTTTCCAAGTAATCGCTCCTCCATTTAGGATAAAGACCCAGCCTGTCTGAGAGCGGAAATTATCCCTATCAGTTTGAAAGCTAGCATCACTATATCCTTCCACTCTCAAGTCATCACTGCCTCCGAGGGTAAGGACCCAGTCCTTAGTCCTCCGCAAATACTTGAGAATGTTCTTTACCGCTGTCGAGTGTGCCTTGCCAGGGTTCCCTTGATATCTACTGACCATGCTCAAAGCAAAAGGCCACATCAGGGTGAGTACAAGTCATAGCATACATGATCGAGCCCACAGCGGAAGCATATGGTATCCGACTCATCTCAGCTATCTCAGCCTCTGTACTCGGACTCTGAGTCTTACTTGGCTTGGCATTACTCTGGATTGGTAATTCTCCTTTCTTGGAATCTTGCATACTGAACCTCTTCAGTACCTTATCCACATAAGTACTTTGACTAAGTCCAATTAGTCTCTTACTCCTATCTCTCAATATCCTTATCCCTAGGATATAGGCAGCTTCCCCAAGGTCCTTCATAGCAAAACACTTCCCAAGCCAGGCCTTAACCTCCTGCAAAGTTGGAAAGTCGTTTCCTATGAGGAGTATGTCATCCACATACAACACCAAGAAGCTAACTATGCTCCCACTAGCCCTGACATACACACAAGACTCATCCTCACTCCTAGAAAAGCCAAACTCTTTGACTTTCTCATCAAAGCAAAGATTCCACCTGCGAGATGCTTGTTTCAATCCATAAATGGATTTTTCAAGCTTACACACTCTATTAGGGTATTTTGGATCGACAAAACCCTCTGGCTGAGCCATGTAAACATCCTCAGCCAACTTCCCATTAAGGAAAGCGGTTTTGACATCCATTTGCCATATTTCATAATCATGAAATGCAGCTATGGCTAACAACACTCTAATAGACTTAATCTTAGCTACTGGTGAGAAGGTCTCATCATAGTCAACTCCCGGAGTTTGAGTAAAGCCCTTCGCAACCAGTCGCGCTTTATAAGTGTGTACTTTCCCATCCATGTCGGTCTTCTTCTTGAAGATCCATTTGCACCCAACTGTCTTACAACCTGGTACATTGTCAACCAAGTTCCAAACTTGATTGTCATACATGGACTGAATCTCGCTGTCCATAGCCTCCTTCCATTTCGCAGACTCAGGGCCTGCCATGGCTTCCTTATAATTATTAGGTTCATCCAAATCAATCAGTGTACTATCACTGATAAATGTATCACCTTCAGTGGTGATATTGATAACCATAATAAAAATCAGGTGTGTTCCTCACCCTAGTGGAACGTCTTGGAGGCATAGACTCATCTATCGGCTCAACAGGAGTTTCCTCCTCAGGTTGGCTGACAGCATTTGAGGTTCCTTCACCACTTGACTCTTGAAGTTCTTCAAGGTCAATTTGCCTCCCACTGTCCCCTTGGCTTATGAATTCTCTCTCACGAAAGACTCCTCTTCTTGCTACAAAGACCACATTATCACTGGGTCTGTAGAAGAGGTAACCAAAGGATCTCTGTGGGTAGCCGATGAAAATACACCTCTCGCTTCGGGGTTCAAGCTTGTCATGAGTCTCACGCCTCACAAAAGCTTCACAACCCTAAATCTTGATGTGGTCCAAATTGGGCACTTTCCCAGTCCACATCTCGTGAGGTGTTTTGGCAACCTTTTTAGTAGGGACTAGATTAAGGATATGGGCGGCATTCTCTAAGGCATACCCCCAGAAGGAGATTGGTAACGAAGCTTGACTCATCATGGAACGAACCATATACAACAGGGTTCGATTGCGCCTCTCAGCTACACCATTCAACTGTGGTGTCCTGGGAGGTGTCAGTTGTGAGACAATCCCACATTCCTTAAGATAGTCAAGGAACTCAATGCTAAGATACTCTCCTCCCCGATCGGATCGGAGCATCTTGATGTTCCTGCCCAATTGATTCTCAACTTTCTGCTTAAACTCTTTGAACTTTTCAAAGGTTTCTGACTTATGC